TAGGAGCAATCTCAACATAAAAGGCCAGATGAAAGGAAGAAGAAGGGGAGAGACCTAGTGTGAGAAACTTCTCATTCTTCAGATTTTAGAGTGAGAAAGTGACGAACCAAAGAAGAGGAGAATCTAGGGTTTCATCTGCAAGCAAGGATTTGGGAATTCCTCCCCCAAAGGAGGATCTCTTCAACACAAGGAACAAGGCTTGCATCTTCTTGATGGTTTTTCTTCTTTTCTCTTGTGTTTTCCCTTCTCCTAGCATGGAGTAGTCCCTTCTTTCACTAGGCTGTTTGTAAACCCTAGTTACAATTATGTGAATACTTGTATGAATAGAGTGATTTGTGTGTGATTGTGTTTAATGTGAATGTGGAGGTATTTTTCATGGTGATTGTGCATTGTGTGTGCTTGACAATCTTGTGTGCTATGTTGACCTAGCTTAGAGAGGAGACCTCCTTAGGTTAAGAGGCTCAATTAGATATGGGTGTTCTTGGGTATTGCTGCCATTGCATGCCTCCTAGGATAGTTTAGAGAGGAAACCTCCTTTATCCAAAGAGGCTCAATTTGAGCTGGGTTTCCTGGGTCCTTAACCTAAGAGGCTCCATTAGGATGGGTTTCCTTGGGCATTTCATGCCTCCTGTTGTAGGTTAATTAAGGGCAAACCTCCTATTTCGTATTAGCACTTAGGGTTTGGTGGTGGGTGGTCGTCTGAACTCCAATTCGAGGGTGAAGTCTAACCATTCCTTAGTCAATAGGTTGAGAGAGTCACATTAGTGGCTTGGATCGTATCTCATTTCCTCGACCAAGAGACTAAGAGGGTAGCTTTGGCTACTTGTTAGACTTCCCTGCAGTTTATCACCCCCTAACCACACACGATCATTCGATTCTTCAAGTCATAATTGTTAGCTAGGGGGAGCAACACCCGGGTGAAGCCTTCTTTATTATTGTCAAATCCATTTTACCTTTGCAAAGTAATTTAGCTTTAGACCTTTGTTTTCACCAAAACGAATTTGGTAGATAATATTTCAAACAGTCGAAGTAGCGGTACATGGGGCGATCCTAGTCGATATTTAAATATATTGCCCTATATTGAACCCATCTAAGGTTTATACTTGGACCTTAGGTGGGATTTAACGTGGTTCACTAACACAAATGGACTTACATTATGTCAGAACAGAAACGTGCAAACGATAATCCAGATCAACACAAACGAACACGAATTTAACGTGGTTCACTAACACAATATGTACTAGCTAATCCATGGGCAGGGGAAAACAAATTTCACTGATTTGAGTAGAGTACATGTTACAACCCGAATTCTAGAATGGACAAACGAAACAAACTAACCTGATTGACCTTACTACAGATTAGTGTGGTGAAGAGTATTTATAGAACTCTTCTCCTAATCCCAAACAGAAAACCAAACACCTTTTACCAAACATACAAGGAAAATGCCAAAACAAAGCCCAAACACTAACCCAAACAAAACAGGCCCAAAACAAAAAACAAACTCAAAAGAAATTCAAGTCATATCCTAAAAATCTCCACCTTGACTTGAATTCTCTGTCAAATACCAGATGTACCAGACGAAATCAAAGTTGCCAGATGTACCCAACTCCTCCAAATCAGTTGTATCAGAATCTCCCCTGCCTCCAAATGCCTCTGAGGGCAGTCAAAAAATAAAATCATTTGGCAAATCCAACCCATGTTGAGACTTGCCATCCACAACTAGCTTGGTGCACTTATCACCAACATAACATGTCAAAACAGAACCTTGTAGACTATACAAGGCACCAACCTTGACACCTTTCAGAATCACCTTAGAACCTTTGTAGACATATAACACTCCACCTTCACCTTTGAAACCGAAACCCTTACTGTCTAGTAGACTCAAAGATATCAGATTCTTAGTCATCTCTGGAATATGTCTAACATTGTTCAAGGTGCGAACAAAACCATTATGTGTCCTTATCTTGACGGAGCCTCTTCCAACAATCTTACAGATAGCACCATTGGCCATAGAAACATGTCCTCCATCTATCTGCTGCTGCTCATAAGTTGAAAAACACTACCTGCTTGGACACATATGATAATCAATTGCAGTATCTAAATACCACATATCCTAATGATCTACCTGCTCATTCACTGTTAAGGCTAAACCATCTTCAGAATCAGAGTTAGTTTCTTCCGCCACAGCAGAAGATGATTCCTTCTTCTCCTGATATTTCTTTAGTTTAGGACAATCAAATTTCCAATGTCCCTTCTCTTTACAGTAATGACATATATCATCTTTCAAACCAACAGAATTCGAATTTGTATTCGTCTTCCTATAACCAAATTGTTGTCTCCTACTACTCGTAGTAGGCAACCCAGATGCCCGATTTTTCGAACCTGAACCAGATGCCTTAAGTCGAATTTCTCTAGTATGTAGAGTAGATCTGACATATTCAAAAGACAAACTGTCTTTCCCAGCATTAAAAGAATCCACAAAATTCTCATACGAAAGTGGCAAAGATACTAACATAATTAAGGCAACATCATCATCATCTATTTTAACATCAATATTTCGCATATCTAACAAGATAGTATTGAGTTGATCTGGATGAATCCTAAGAGACGTACCTTCCTCCATACGCAAAGTGAACAAACGTCGCTTCATATGCAACTTGTTGGTTAAATACTTTGTCATATATAGACTTTCAAGTTTCAACCACAAGCCCACAACAGTCTTCTCAACAGCAACCTCAGTGATGATGTCATCAGCCAAACAAAGCAAGATTGTAGAGTGAGTTTTCTCCTCCAAAGTACTCCACTCTTCTTCATCTATACTTTCCTTTTTCGATTTTCCAGACAACGGAGCCCACAAACCCTGTTGTTTTAACAATGCTTGCATCTTGATCTGCCACAAAGTGAAGTTGTTTCTTCCTGTAAACTTCTCAATCTTCATACTGATAGCAGCCATTTTTATCACCAAACAAGCGAGACCAAAATCCAACTACCCAAAGTCAACTCCAAAGTGATTCCTCCACCGAACCAAGATAAAGAAATGAAAGCTACCTCCATAAAGCAAAACTTCAGTCCAACGCCAAATTCCCAACACCACAACCAAAGGCTCTGATACCACTTGTCAGAACAGAAGCGTGCAAACGATAATCCAGATCAACACAAACAAGCACGAATTTAACATGGTTCACTAACACAATATGTGCTAGCTGATCCACGGGCAGATGAAAACAAATTTCACTAATTTGAGTAGAGTACAGGTTACAACCCAAATTCCGGAACGGACAAACCAAACAAACTAACCTGACTGACATTACTGCATATTAGGGTGGTGAAGAGTCTTTATAGAACTCTTCTCCTATTCCCAAACAGAAAACCAAACACATTTTCTCAAACATACAAGGAAAAGGCCAAAACAAAGCCTAAACACAAACCCAAACAAAACAGGCTCAAAACACAACACAAACTCAAAACAAATTCAAGTCATATCTTAACACATTATTAGTCTTGCAAATGATTTGCTCATTTTTACTAGAGGCTCAGTAGATGGGGTCCAAATAGTGGCTGAAACCTTGGATAATTTTTATAGAATCTCTGGATTACAATGTAACCCTAGCAAAAATGGGGTCAACTGTGCAGGGGTTAAACATGAGATAAGGCTGTAATTACTCAATAATCGAGATTCCATGAAGGTCTCGTCTAGTTTTCCTTTAGTTGTAGGAAAACTGAGTAACGCTGACTGTAGGAGGCTGGTGGATCAATTTCAAGGAGAGTTGAAGGAAGGTTGGCTGGCAAAGCACTTATCATGTTTCCTTTCAAATTCATAACAAGAAGGTAACATGACCACCAATATTGTAATTCTGCAGTCAACAAGTTGTTCATTTTTTAAATCGCATGGGCGCAAACCTTTTCATTATCTAACAAAATGGTTAAACATATTTTCATAGTGTAACGAAATGGTTATAAAACTTGTCAATATCAGTTTGGCTCGGGTGGGATGGGTTAGTTTAGATGGTGATGTGAACTTCTTAATTATATATTTTTATTACGTCGACTGCTGACTAGACTCGTTTAACAGAACTTTGAATGGAGATGAACGGAAATGATCATTTCAGTACACGTCGAAATTTGTGTTACGCAATATCTTGTAGGAAGTCTAATCTTTTCTAGCAAGTATATAAGCCAAGAGCAATGAATAGAACATATAATTATTGAGGACAGCTTGCTACAGTAATGGCTGATATGGTTGACAAATACAGACCTCAATTCGAAACCCCACAATCTCTTAGTCGCTTTCTCACTCCTCGAACTGCTATGCTAATGCTATGATGCTACAGATTCTTCTTCTTCTTTCCAATTAATTAATAGAACATCGATAGATAGAATAGGTACAGAGTTTCGTTCATAATTATTTCCCCTTCGAACTTCCTATCCTCCCCCTCCCTTTCACTTTCACCGCCATGAAGAGAACAAAACAAGTTTCGGCCCCTAAAAAAAAAAAAACACAACTCTTTATGTCGAAGTCCCCCCCTATAGCAATTCCCTGCATCCATCTTTCCTTTTTTCTTCTTCTTCTAATCTCCTGTTTCTATATAATCAATTAAACCTATGAAAAAGCAAACTAGCTGGTTAGCAACGCTAGATTTCCCTTTCTGGACTTTTCATTTGTTTGATATTTATTTAACTTTGTTGTGTTAGGTCATGGATGAAAAATTATTATGCATATGTAAAAAACAAAACAGAAAGGATGAAAGAATTCCATAGATAATAGATGTTGCCTTTGATTTTTTTGTAAAATTCCTAAAAAACTTCACCATGTGAAGAGCTAGTAAACTGATACATATACTTTGCATATATAACAATGAGCTAGTTTGGCTTTGATGTAGATTTTGAAAAAGCAATTTCTAGTAGGAACTTGTAGAGAAGTATTTTTTTAATAGCAATTAAGTGTTTGACTAAAAAATTTAAAAAAGTACTTTTTAATATATGAGGTCATGTAATATGTGTTAAGATATCAAAATGTATTCAAATCGTAAACACAACACACGACGTTTTACGTGGTTTCAAGTATTGCAGGGTCCAATACCGACTAGTCCACGGGAAGGAGATACTCTGATTTGTTACCTCATACGTCCGGTTACAAGAGTTGATATACACGCCTAACCCTAGCTGCCGAAATAGGGTTATACAAAGCTAATGAGCTACGTATCAATACTACAACATAATACATGTCATGGGCATACATATAACTAGGATATGCTACGATTAACAGCCTTCCTCAAACTGATGTGAATCTCGGAGCATCAATTTGCTAGATAAGTACCAATGACGGGCGGTAGTGAATGTCTCTGTCAAGAGATCGGCTTCGTGTTCTGCAGTAGGAATGTAGTGTCCATTAGCTTTACACGAATAGCAGTCAGACCTATAACACCAAACTCACCAAGCAGACGTCACAACCAAATAATTTCTGAAGCCATGTCTGACATAGCTCGATATTCAGCTTCAGTAGATCTCTTAGACACCTAGTCTTGTTTCTTACATCTCCAAGAAACAAATGATCCACCATATCAGATGCACCACCCTTTGATAGAACGACGAGTATCAATACATCTCGCAAACTCAGAGTCGGAATAGGCGCTAATAGTATCATCTCGACGAGAAGGAAAGAACAACCTCACGGTTTTCGTACCAGATAGATAGCGGAGTACCCTGTGTGCAGCGTGGAGATGGACATCATGTGGGGAATTCATGAAATGAGTTAGTATATGAACTGTGTACAAGATTATGCTCGAGTATGAGTCATGTAGTTAAGACTACCCACAAGGCTGCGATATTGGCGCCCATCTGCCAATGGTTCACCAACATCTTTACCCAATTTGACATTCAGCTCCATAGGTGTTAAGACTAGCCAACAGTCCGTAAACCCTGTGGTTTCAAGAAGATCATCTACATATTTTGGTTGACTAAGTAAAATGCCTTGAGGTAACCGAGTTATTTCCAAACCCAGAAAAGAAGAAAGAGACTCGAGTTCCTTATGACTGAAAGAAGACCGTAAGCCTGCAGCAAGCTCTTCAATCCCATTAGAATCATCGCTTGTCACCACCATATCATCAACATACAGTAAAAGAACAACTATTCCTCTTGGTGTGGACTTAGTGAAGAGGGACATGTCATTCAAACTCTGTTGCATACTCAGACTGACAATAGTGTTATGAAACTTGTCAAACTAGGAACGAGGTGCCTGCTTGAACCCTTAAAGAGATCGGAAGATAAGACAAACATCTTCTTTGGAGAACAGGGACAACCAGATGGAAGGTCCATGTAAATGACCTCCTTTAGATCACCATGTAGGAATGCTTTCTTGACATCAAGCTGGTATAGATGCCAATTTCGGGATGCATCGACAGCTAAGAGATTATGAATTGTCATCATCTTGGAAACAGGTGCAAAGGTTTCATTGAAATCTATCCCATACTCCTGGCTAAAGCCCTGTGTGACTACCGAGCCTTGTGTCGTTCAATACTCCCATTGGGCCTGACCTTGATAGTGTACACCCAACGAATCCCAATGTGTGGTACTGGTGGAGGATGGGGTACAATAGTCCACGTCTCATTATCATATAAGGCCCCGAGCTCCACGTGCACGGCATCATCCCATTCAGGAATCCTATGAACCTTCTTATAAGTGGAAGGAACAAACACGAGATCGATGCCATAAACCAAACTATCAAAGAGCCGAGCGGGAAGCTTACCCAAGTTGTTGCAGAGCGAACGACGAAGAACTAGAGGTTCTGGTGGTGAAGGCGGCGACGATTCATCACAGGAAGACGAGCTAGAAGAAGGTGATGACGGAAGTGAATGGGGGGAGACAAGGTGTATCATCAGCATCATCTTTGTCGGATAAGGTGGGAAGGTATGCGGAAGAAATCAAAGGGGTAGATGAAGGACTACACGACGAGTAAAACATAACATTTTCAATGAATACAACATCACAGGAGACACGAAAGCGTTGGGAGGTGCGATAAAAACAATGATACCTTTATGGATATCACTATAGCCGAGAAATATGAAGCAGAGGTTTTGGGAACTAGCTTAGTACGATCTTTTCGAGGAAGAAGGACAAAATGTAGCAACTAAAGACCCTAAGACGCAAATAGTTAGGATGGGTTTTGTAAAGAGAAAAATAAGAACTGACGTGATAAAGGACATGATTGGTTTGGTAATTTATGAGACGCACAACAGTAGCAACAGTTTTTGGCCAAAAACAAGGTGGGACATGTGAGGCTAACAAGAGATCTCGAGTGAGTTTGAAAACATGCCTATTTTTTCTTTCCACCACGCCATTCTACTGTGACACACCTGGGAAAGCTTTCTTCACACACCTGAAGTGGATGTGAACCGAACTCGCCTCCCTTATCTGATGGAATGAGTTTAATGGGCTACCCGAATTGTGTCTGCACCATTTTGAGAAAATCAGCGGTAACCGAAAGGATATTGGATTTCAGCTTCATAAAATACACCCAAGTAAAGTGCGTGGCATGGTCAATAAACAAGTAAAAATGGCGGTAACCATGACAAGAGGTTACAGGAATCGACCCCCAAAGATATGTATGTATAAGTGAAAAGGATCATTTATAATAGTAGTACTAGACGGGAAAGAGGTGTGAGTTGTCTTTGCCTCCACACAACTAGTACAAGAAAACTTAGATAGATCTTTAATCGAAACATCACCAAATAAATTTTGTTTGGACATGTATAGAAGCGACTCAAATGGGGATGGCCCAAACGGGAATGCCAGAAGAGGGGGACAACGACCTAGAAACCAACGAAATACACGAAGAAGCTCATGATGACGATGAGGCTGGCAACTCGTCCAGGTAAAATATGCGACCTTGCTTATTCCCCCACCTAATCTGCCTCCTTGTCTCCAGAACCTGAATAACACATCCGAAAGCCCAAAAAACACAGAACAATCGTTGTCAGTAAGCTGATTTACAGAGACAAGATTTGGAACAAGTTTCGGCACATGTAAAGTGTTGTCGAGCATTAACTAAGAATCTCGAACTGAACCAATTCAACAAACTAGCATATTATGACCATTGACAACTTGAAGATTCATATCATGATAGGAACGAGGTATGTTATCTAATTACCATGACTCATCATATGATTAAAACAAGCACTATCGAGTATCCAATTAAGGGAGACGCTTACCTGAGACTTGGAGAGCGGCAAAGGCACACTGTAGGGACTTGATAACCTGACATTTGCACATGTTTTGCCCACCATTCTTGCACCATTTGAAATTTTTTTCTCATGTTTTAAGCCGATTTCAGTCTAGGTTGTGCTTTTATGTCGTATTTCAGGACTTGGAGCGGAAATGGAGGCTTGGAAGTGAGTTTCGGGTCAAAAGCAGAGAGATGGCAAAAAGTGGAGGTGGAAGGCGAAATACCTGGCCAGGCCACCCAAATACCCGACTGGGCAAACAACCAAGATGAACCTAGGAGCCCCCCCCCCCTGACCGGGTATTTCTCCCTGCACCGAGAAGGCGATGCGCACCATTTCAATAAATACCCGATCTGATTTAGGAATACCCAACCGGGTATTTGGACCGGGTATGCCTAGATCGGGCTGTTAAAAGCAGAACGCGGGTTTGGTCTCTCATTCGAGTTTTGGAGCAGAAAATAGAGGTTTAGAAAGAGAAAGTGACAAATAAAGACCCTTGAATGCCCTAGATAAACTTTTCCCATCACTGGAGCTCGATTCAAGCCTCGAGGAGTGACGATTGATGACCAGGAGCAATCCTATCTACCACTTGGGTATGAAGAACCCTAGTTTTGCATGTAGGAGAAGTTGTATCAACCCTTTTTGAATACAATGATGATTATATATCTCCAATTGAGGTGTTATTCAGAAATCTATGAGTATTGATCACACTTGTATGTTTCCAGCTTTGACCTAGAATGATAGAATCTGAAAAGGTATTAGAGCATCCTGATTTGGAAGTGGTGAATCGATTGTGCGAGAGTCAATTGGTTCATTGCTCTGTGGGATTCATTTCAGTAGAGGAGATGTGTTTTTATTGCCTTAGCACTTTATCTCGGTGAATATTAGTCGCCTATCGGGTAACGTGTCTAAGAGGGTCTGTCGGGTAACGTGAAAACCAGAACATTTACCGCTTTCTATTTAATTTTCTTTGCACACTTCACTCAACCTTTTCTGCTAGATGATAGAATTTCACGGAGTAGGCAGTACATCTAGGCCCCCGATTGACATTTATTACTTGTCCCACTATACTGCATTTTCATTCTACGATTACACTTGGTCGTAGTTTGAAGATGTAATTTAGCGAGTATGACCTCATTAACCAGCTGATCAATGTTGGTGGATCCCGCTGAGGAAGCAGGCGCGGAAGGTGCGGGCAGTGAAGGTAATGCCATTGTGTACGCCGGGCGAGATGGACGACCAGAATCGACAGGACGAGCTTGGCAGCCTGGCTCAGGCCCAATATATGTGGTATGAATCTTCAACACACCACAATTGGGGATGATATTGCCGCTCTTCTTGCATTACACGCATATGTTGCCCTTGCGGCAGAATTTCTGGAAGTGGCCCATCTCCTTCCAAAAGTCGCACTGGTTATCGACGTTACTCAACCGACGCTGAAATTGAGCACGGTTAACAACATATGCAGCGGGTTCTTCAACAGTCGCGTTAATCTTGTCTCATCTCCTACGAGGTATCCCATAATCGCTTCAATGGTCAGCTTCTCCTGGTTAAGCAATGTAGCCCTCTCAGTTTTGACTTTGGTCGAGGCTTCACGGGACAAGAGTTTGGCGGATACTAAGTCTTGTCATTCCAGAGAGTGCGCGCTTCACTATAGTAAGCTCTGATGCTCTTATCACCCTGGAACAACTTAGCTAATTCGAGTTCTACTTCAAACTGTCAAGCAGAGTCAGTAGTCGAATAGGTCTTGCATAGATGGCTCCGCATAGCATCATCGGTAACAAAAAAACAAAGTCCCAGAATAAAAGAGGGATCAACTGATTTGAGGGGCCATGTCATTACCTTAGCGTTATTCTGCGTCCAGGTCGTCACTTCTTGAGTTAAAGCGGGCGGAGCGGTAGGGAGAGGTGTGCTGCCGTCGAGCATCTCGAGCAGCCCTCGTCCCATGACAAAGATTCGAAATTGAAACTCCCACATAGCGGAATTGGTAGCATCCAGGTGGACGGTGACACCTTCAGAATCCATAGGCTCTTATAGCATGTTATGATCTCAAAACGTATTCAAATCGTAAACACAATACAAGACGATTTAAGTAGTTTCCAGTATTTTAGGGTGCAATACCGACTAGTCTACTGGAAGGAGATATTCTTATTCGTTACCTCATACTTCCAGTTACAAGAGTTTATATACACACGTAAACCTAGTTGCCGAAATAAGGTTATACAAAGCTAATGGGCTACGTACCAATACTACAATAGAATACACGTCATGGCCTTACATACAATTGGGCTATGCTACGATTAACTATATGACTACAAAAATTTCTGTTCTAGAATATGACTAAAAAACTCCCATTCATATAAAAAGAATTAAAAAATAGGCAAAATGAATACGGTTAGATTTTTATATTAAATAATTATATTTACTAATTTATATTATTTTAAAATGATATTTATAAATTCAAGTATGTTTGATTAAACAAATGGTTAGATAATCTTGTTACTTTTCAATTTTTAAAATTAGAGCATATAAAGATGTTTGGTCTGACTTCTGTTTTTTTTTTAATTTTAATTGTCGTGCCAAACATTGGCAATTCAAGGTATGATGCAAAATGAATAATTCAACACTCAGTGGATTAAACTTGGCTATTAGTATAAAAGAAAGCTAAATTATCTTATATGAATATGAGCATTTTGGATCACTATCATATACATGAAAATACGAGATGATTTTATATTGGTTTTTGAAGGCCTAATCGATTTGTTGTTGTTGTTGTTGAATGGTTCATTTTTTTATATACACGATAATATATTTAATGATGAAATGTAAGTATGGTTTCATAATTCATATCCTATATATAAAACCCCAAGCATTTTGCTAGCTACTCTATTATTGTGCACGAACGTAACTACTCTAAGGAATAAAATCCGATAAGATTTGTTTTATTTCTTTAAGAGGATTAAATAGTCTTCAAAACACAACCTACTATAAATTCAATAGTTTATATTTGTATAGTGAAGGGAAGAAAACAAAGGAGGTTGACGACATTACTTAAATTCCTTTTACACATGCGTCTCCGTCTCATTAAATTTGGCTGCCTCCCAATGATTGTGAAATGGATATATATACCCTCATATTTTTAGTTTTTTTACTGATTGATAATCATATAAAGTAAAATAATATTACAATCCTATTAGAGTATGTATAGTATGAGTAATATTGTTTTATATTACGATTACTATTAACAAAAATCAAATAGTAACAATTGAAATAGCATCAACCCACCTCGAAGTTGGGTTATTGAAAGAGGCCTAAAATTCCATAAGACTTATATTTAGATCACCCCTAATAATTCGAATGATTTAAATCAATTGATTGTAAAAAAGTGGTTCTTGGCATAATATTAAAGTTCTGAATCGAGAGTCTTGTGTTAATGCTCACGACCTCTAACATTTATAGTTGAATTAAGCACATAGTAAGATGATTACATGCAATCTTCGAATTTATATACATTGAGAGTAGAATTCAAACCCCTAATCACTTGTTATCAACAATAGTATTTTAATAACAAACTACAACTAGTCTTGCGGTGCATCGAATCATAAAATTAGTGTTGTTGCTACTAGTCATTATTACAAATGTGAGTCTTTCCTTAAATGAATTATGTGAAAACATTCTTCGCAATTGAATGAATGATGAAGTCATCAATAAAAATTTAGGTGATAAATACTTATAAAACTTTTCAGAATATAAACTTGGATACACCATGAATCCTTTTAAAAGTAGTAATAAAGTCAACTTATAACTTTTTGTACATAGGTCGAATCATCTTTGATTAAAATTTTTGGTACGTCACTGCTCCTTAGTCCCATCATTAAAAATCTTGCGTTAGAATTGATAATGAACTTCATCCAATCGAAAGTCCACAAGTTCTTTTCTCCCGCAAAAAAAAAAAAAAAAAAAAAAGGAAAGAGAAACTGTAAGTTGCTAAAGAAACATACACATCCACACGTACGTCTGCAGATTTTTTCGACGAAGCATTGAGATTTTCTGAATAGTGAACGCCTCCTCTCGTCATCTCTAGGCCACACTCGAGGTGAGGGGGACAACAAGATATATAAATGTAGGAGATGCATGTGTGTTCAATTATTGATTTGGGATCCTTTAGTTTAATATGAATGATCAAGTGGATATATAATAACTATTGGAGTATATTTTCAATATCAAAACTGAAAACTTAACTGAAGTTAAACGCGAAAAACGTAAAAGATATTGATAATAATTATGTATTACTCTCGACGTCCGGAACTGATTCATGGGAGAATATGTACTCTCTAGTTTAAATTTATTATTGAGT